AAGGAAGGAAGGAAGCAAGCGAGGGGGGGTGGAGGGAACAGAGGGGGAGAGGGAGGAAGGGAAGAGGAAGAAAAAGAAGGGTCCCCAGGGTGGAGGACAGCATGGGCGTGGGGCAGACTTGCCCTGCCCAGACCCTCTCTCTCCCTCCACCTGGCACCCTGCTTCTGTGGCCCCTGGTCTCTCTGAAGGCACCTGGTCCATCCTCAAGCTTGAACTCCAGGTCCCCTGCCAGGCCCTGCCTCTGCCAAGAGGCAGGCAGCAATCCCACACCAGTTAGGACAGAGGACCCACACCCTGGGAGGCCCTTGGAATCACACCCCACCCCTGGAGGTGGCTCTGGCCCAGAAGTACCTGGGGTCCTTGAAGCTACCTGGAAGAACACAGCCAACACCAGGGCATGGGGGCCATTTCCGGGGTGAGGCAGTGCGTGCTGGCCTTTTTGGGTGGGAGGGTCTTTCGAGCCCAGGTCTGGGGGGACATCCTGGCTTGATGAGGGGGCTTTTCTTCCACATCTGTGCTTCCAGCTCTGGTTGGCGAGGGACAAGCAGGCCCAAGCCCAGGTGCGGAAGGCTGTGAGCCCCCTGCCTGAGGAGGCGGCCAGGCTGGCACAGGCTGGTCTTCTTCCCGAGGGGAAGGCCCCAGGGGTGCATCCACAGGCTCCGCTGAGCCCCCTGCTGTCCAGGAAAAAGAGGATGTGTTTGTAGGCGTCTCCTGCTGGGAGCCTGTCCTGCAGGCCACACCCTGAGCGGGGACAAAGCTCTAGGTGGATGGCCACAGGGACATGGCCCGGAGGCAGCAGCCAGCCAGTGGGTGGCAGGGACTCTGTGGTACTGACAGTCACCTCCTGCTAGTCACAGGCTGGGCCCCTGGTCCCTTTTTCCAAGAGCAGCAAGAACATGTCTTCCTCTCTTTTCCGACTTGATTCTTGGAACTTACACCCTCTTGGGCTTGCTATTTTTACCCACCCTGAGCTTTCCGGTCTCCATGGCGACGCCTCCAAACAGCAGATTCCAGGCGGCAATGACGTCACCTTTCCCTTTCCTGCCGCCCAGGCCTTGCAGGGGCTGCTGTGGGGCCCTAGTCTGTAGGACCTCCCCACCCTCCCACACCTCCTAGGCCCTCTGCCCTGAAGCTGGGCCCTGGGACTCCATGGGCCTCCACCAGACCTGGCCCTCGGGGCCCCGGGGGACAGTGCTACCCACCCCTGCCATAAGCAGTCCTGCCAGACCCCTTGGCAAGAGGCTCACACAGGCCCAGGTGCAGGGTGGCTGTGTGTCGTCCCCCGCCCCCAGCCCTCTCACTCCTGTCAAGCAGAGGCTGCCCTGCCAGCAGCTGGAGAAGAGGCAGCTACCATGGCGAGGGCTGAGGGGTGCCAAGGGGTTGTGCGCACCCAGGCACCCAAGGGAGGCTGCCAGACACGCTGGCCGGCCACTAGGCTCAGCTGCCATGGTCACTCTGCAGGGCCCACCAGGACGCTGCAGTGGGTCTAGCCCAGGTTGCCTCCAGATGCCAGTCTGTGTCTCTAGTTGGCATTCGCCCATGCGCCCTGAAGTGCCAACCTGAAGCAGCCCTCAACCCACTGAAGATGGGCCACTTGTGACTAGGCAGGCGGGCATTCTTTGGCCCCTGCAGGAAAACAGCTGGCATCTGCTGTGGACTCAGACATCCAGCACCATGATGGAGAAGGTTGGCAATGGAACAGGTGGGCCCCGAAGGCTCCGCATCCCCACTGTGGCCGGAGGAGCCCCATCCAGCCCCAGGCTTCCAGACCTCCACCTGGTCTGCAAGTTCTGGCCCTGTGCCAAGCAGCGTGAGATTTTCCTGTGGCCCTGCGGAAAATCTATCCAACCTCAGCCCCCAAAGCACAAACTGAGGTCAAAGAGGAGGGACAAGCAGAGCTTCAGGACTCTGAGGGTGTGGAGCCCCTAGAGGGGCATCCTATGTGTGCCCCGGTGAGCAGGGGATGTCCACCTGCCTTCGTCAGCGTGCACCAGACCGTCCCCAGAGCAGCACAGAAGGATAGCTTCTGAGCTTGCATTCCTGCCTCCACTGCATCTCGGGTTTGAAGTCCTAACTCGCTTGTCTGATACCAGCAGGCGCAGCTGCAGGTCTGAGCATGAGGTGGGCAGATGGGTGAGGTCCCAAGCCCCGCACCGACTGGTCGCTAACCAGGTGTGCATAGCCTGCTAGTTGTGGGGGCTTTTCTGGGTAGCCCCAACCTCGACAGGGGCAGAGGAGCCAGCAAATGCCAGGGGCCGAAGCTGCTCTCCGAGGGCCCCAGGAATAAGAGGACACAGTTCCAGCGTACCCCGACCTGGCTCCCTGATGGCCCAGGAGGGAGACCAAAAGGCCTGGGGGCAGGGCGGCTGTGTCACCAGGCAGCCTCTGTCCACCTTTCGCCTCCAGGTTCATGCACTGACTCTGAGTCCTGGAGGGCTGCGCCCCTGGCCCTGCAGTGCCCTGCAGGCCTCTCCAAAGCCCCAGCCTGAGTACTGTGCACCAGTCCTGTCCTGCCAGGCCCAGTTCCAGGTGCACCTGGGGCTGTGGTTCTGAGGGAAGGTGGGGGTCCCTGTGAGTGAGACCTGGGACAGGAGAGAACATGGAACTCATTTCTGCACCAAGTCCATAGACAGCTTGCGCCTAGCAAGCCTGGCACAGCGGCAAATCATTCTTGTTCTAAAAAGTGCGAGGTCCTCAGGAGATAGTGACATGTCTGTTTGTTCTATAGACAGGGGTCAGAGACCTAGGGGGAAGATGAGGGTGGAGTCGGCTTGGAGGATGAGCTGGGTGGGCACCACCTTGCAAAGATCTAAACAAAAGGGGCTGGGGAGATGGCTCAGTGGAATAAGCGCTTCCCTGGCAAGCACAAGGGCCTGAGTTCAATCCCTAGTTCCTCAAAAAAAAAAAAAAAGATCTAAACAAAGCCAAAGGCAAGAGGTGAGGCTTCCAGTTCGGGGAACAGCAGGTACACCTGAGGCAATGCCAGGCAGAGTGGTAGGAGAGGAAGTGAGGGGGGTCGGGTGTGAACCTTAGCTGTGCCCCTTAGGGGACTGGAGCTTGGTGGCCACTGCCCTGGGCCTGCCTGGGAGACCCTCAGAGCCACAGCCCTAGCAGATAGGCTGCCCCTTGGGTCTCCCAGAACCCTTGAGCCAAGAGCACCCCCAGCTTCCATTTCCCTGCAGGACAATTGAGGAACAAGTGAGAGGAATTGATGCGGAACAGATGAAGCTGTTTCTGGACATTTTGTTCCTAGCCCTGCCCCCACCTGGCACAGGACTGGAATGGCCAGCAGAGGGGATGCCTCCGCCTATTCCACCCAGGCCCCTGTGGGGCACTGGCTGCCCCATTGCCCCACCCACTCTGTTGGAGCTGGGTCTGCGCCCAGGGTCCCCAGCTGCCCCACCCACCAGCTGCTGCAGATGCTGCCAGGAGGGTCCTGGGGCCATGGGTCTGGTGTCTGCCTCCCCGGCACTGTCCAGAGAGCCATCCGCCATCTCCAGGCGGGGTGCTGCCCGCAGGCTCGCATCTCCATGAGTAATATTTAACTTGGACGGGCTCTCTGACAACTGCAGGGGAGAAGTTAACAACAAGTTTGGATTGCAAGCTGCTTGCCAGGAGGGGAGGGAGGGGAGGCCCAGGAGGAAGGCAGGGAGAGAGGGCAAAGTTGAGAGGAAGAAAGGAGGGCAGGAGGCAGGCCAGGAGTCGCGGTGCCAGGGAGGAGGGCTCCGTGCTGGCCCCAGGGGGGACCTCAGGGCCATGGCCTGTGTCTCTGGGGGCCCAAACTTCCAAGAACCCTGGGCCTGGAGCCAAATGACCACTGCGTCCCAGGAATGGGAGCTCTGAAGCCAGGCGGCTGGCACACACCATCAGACACATGGCTGAGGCCCTCAAGCCTCAGTTTCCCCTGGAGAAACTACTGAGGTCAGGGAGCAGCTTCAGGATTGAGCTTAGCACTGACAGCAACACACACACACAGTCACAGAATTGCTAGCACAATGGGCCTGCCTGGAGCTCTGAGGCCTCGACCCACGAGAATGGAGCAAGGCTAAGTTTCCAGCCCAGCGGGTGGGGGAGGGCAGGCTCCGAGCAGGGGACAGGCCTGCCCAGAGGGGGATGTCAGTGTGCATGGCCACCACGGGCTTGGGCAGCACGCCCTCCTCCGCTACAGGGAATGTGGCTACTCACAGGCAGCAGGCAGCAACCCTGAAACAGCGCCCATGAGCAGGAGTCTGGGGCAGGGAGCGGGGCAGAAGCCACACCAGCTAGGGGAGGAGAAGGCTGCCCAGGGCTCCGAGCCTCCTCCAGACCGTTAGAATGAGCTCCTGCCTCTTCTTACTCAGAGAAGATGGAAGTGGCTTCCACAGTGTCCCAACCCTGGTAGCCACCACACCACACTTAGGAAGCAGAGGGGCTCAGGGGCCAGGGCTGCCAGCAGCCCCACAGCCCTGGGCCTGGCTCCATTCCACCAGGCAAAAAGCAGCACCCAGCCCTGGCCGACACCTCCACTCCATTTAAATTCTCAGACTTTTCCCAGCACAAACTCACACTTTCAGAGAGCAAGAACAATCCTCTCCTAACCAGGTAGCTTTTGCTGTCCACCCAACTCCCGAACTGGGGCTATGAGGTGGGAGCCCTGCAGGGCCCTGGGGCCAGGAGCAGAGGACGGGGTGCTGTGGGCTGCTGGAACCTCAGCATCACCCAATCATAAGCAATCCCACCTGCGGCTGCTCATCACCTCCCCAGCGGCCAGAGACCTGAGTCTCAGCAAAGCTGGGTCACATATGCCCCCCCCCCCCGGTGCCCATGGGGGCTGTAGGGGCCCAGACTGCACCCTTGGACGTGAGGCCTCCGAAGCAGGAGGTCTCCCGTGGCTGTGCTCCCCTAAACTATGCCCCTGCAGGGAAAAGCATCCCTCCCTGATGCCCACCGACGGCCAGCGAGCCAGGCCTCGGAAGGTCCCGCAGGGGGTGGCTCTGCCTCTAGTCAGGCAGAGCGGAGGGATGTCCCGGAGGCTCTCTCAGGTGTGCCGCCAGGTAAGAACCAGAAGACAGGGCGCTTCGCAGACCGTCGACCCTGCTACAATAGGTGTCCGAGGGGGCTTGAAACGGGGTGGGGGCAGCGTACGTGGCCTCTGCTTGCAAACACGCTAGATGGCCGCGAGCGCGACCGAGATTCCCGTGTGGGCTGGTTCCAGAGCGCACCATGTTCCACAGCACACGGTAATTAAAATTAATTCCACCTACTTGCTTTTACCTGTCCACAGCGGCCACTACACACCCAACCTGACCTACGCGTGCTTTCTGTTTGTCCCTGGTAGGTGCCCTGGGAAGACCTCGCCCTGGGAAGTCGCGGACACGCGGACCACGCCAGGCTCTCAGCTTGCTGGACCTGGGAAGCCGCAGCCAGGGGTCGCGGGGAGCTGACCGCGCCGGCGGGGTGGGGGCGAAGGGGCGTGGCCTGAGCGCGCGGAGGGCACCGGAGGGGCGGGGAAGGCGTGCCGGGGCGTGGCGAGGAGGCACCGGAGGAGGCGTGGGGGGGTGGTGTGGGGGGGTGGCCTGGAGGGCGGGGCGTGGGAAAGCGTCCAGGAGGGCGTGGCGTGGGGCCCGGAGCGGGAAGGGCAACAGATGGACAAAGGCTGCGAGAGTGATGGCAGGTCAGGAAGGAGGCTGAGTCAGGGTGCACCTCGGATCGGGGGCATGCAGGTGACCGGCGGGACAGGCTGCCCAGGGCTGGGCAGCACAGCGCCTTTCCGTCAGACCGCGCCCTGCTGGGTGTCGCTGGCCTGCAGAGCTCAGGACCATCATGGCAGGTCCTGGGAAGGCTGGGCAGCAGGGACGAGGCTACCAGCGGTGCGTGTAGTCCTGACTCACGGTCTGGTCTGGTCGTGGGGCCGAGCTACCCTGAGGCAGAACTCTATTCACAGGAGAACTCTGTGGGCAATTCAGAAAGCCAGAAAGAGCTTTGCTGTGGGTGGGCTTCCTGCCGTGCACAAGGTCCATGTCAAAATGTAGGGAGGACAGGGCTGGCCATGTTGCCTCAGGATAAAGCTCACCACGTGGTCCCGCACTTGGCCAGGGGCCTTGAGGGTGAAGGGCAGGCCAAAAGCCCCAGCCAGCAGCTGATTTTCCCTTAAGAAGGCAGCAGATCAGGGTCCACACTGACTCCACTGGAGCCTGGACGCCACAAGTGCCTGGGGATCCCTGAGAGCGCTGCTTCCACCCACAACACCCCAAAGCTGGGGTCCTGTTTGTCCCCTAGGGAGCTGCCTGAGGCTCATGCACCTCCCTCTCCTGCTTGCCCAGGACTGCTTGGTTGGCTCTGCAGGGCATGGACACCGCAGGAGCACTCACAGTCCCCACTGTGCTGTGGGGAGACCTACTAGGATGGGGGTGTACAGCCAGGACGCATCCTGGGGAGGGGACGCTGCCCCTGGGCCAGGCCAGCAGAGCCTGGTGTGGAGCTACTGAGGTCCCTGAGCACTTGAAGCACCGCTGTGGACTCAGGGACAGGTGGCCAGCCCAGTGAAAGAGTTGGGGCATGTGGCCAGGTGGGCCCTTGGAAACAGGGCCATCTTCCTCCCGATGCCCTTTGGCTTTTAGGATTTGAGGGCTGAGGCTTGAGCCTGCTGACCTCTGGCTGGCCCTGGCCATCGCTCTCGAGCCCAAGGCTACCTGGAGCTTCCCAGTACCCAAGGGATGCCACAGCATGCCCTCACCCCCGCACCGTGTGTGGGCCTGAACATGCTTTGCTGCCCGCCGGATCCCGAGACGTTTCCCAGGCAACGTCGTGTGCAGCCTGTCTGCCTGGCACTCCCGCACCCCGTAAATGCTGCCGTGCCTGCTCCATACAGCCTGGCTTGGCACACACAGGGCGCAGGTGTGGCATGGGCAGCCTGGTGCCTACTGCGTCAGAAGGCCGATCTAGCGGAAGTGGCACAGGTCTTTCAGCCACTCTCATGTAGCCAGCAGGCACTGTCAGGGCACCCCACATGGATACCATGTGGTCGTGCCACATGGAGGGGGTGGGGCAGCCAAGCACCACACGCATGCGCCCGGGCATGCCTATGCCACAGGCTTCCTGGGGCCGGTCTTGACCCCATTTGCAGGCAGCTCAATCGCACCCAACCACCAAGAAATCAAGCAGAATGTAGGGACACCAAGTGTGCTCAGGCCATCCCAGAGTGCTCTGGGACGGGTGTCCAGGGGCTGTCCAGCTTCCCACCTGGGCAGAGGCCAATCAGGGGCCCCAGCTGGGACCTGGGGGAATCAGCCCTGGAGGAGTGAAGGGCCAATCCCACCCTGCCGGACACCTGTTCCCAGGTGGGGGAGAGGAGGGGGAGGGGCGGGAGAGGTGGCCCCTGACCTGGCTGGTGTGTTTCTAGAGGCAGCCCCAGGGGCAGACCTTCCCTCCAATCCAGATCAAATGGTGGACAAAGCCCTAATGGGAGGTGGTGTCCAGCCAAGCCAGGCCTGAGTGAGGGCCTCTCGCTTCACACACCTGGAAGTCTTCTGCTCCGCCCAGGCACACCTTCTCTACAAGTATTGTTTCATAAGTACAAACTCTGGCTCATAAAAAACTTGTTTCCACTCTTTTAGCATCAGTCTCAACCAGAAATTGTCTTCCAGTAATGTTGACTTTCCTGTCCCTGTCAAGATGGCTGGGGGAAAGTAAGGCTCCATGCTGTAACCCCTCATGCTGATAACTTGGGTCCGCTGGGCAAGATAAGCGGTTACCCAGAGAGGTGACCAACATTCTCCTTTTATTTCCTGAAGGTGCTGGAGTGGCTGTTCTATGCTGGCCCCCGGGGGCCACCTCAGGCTGAAGTCCTGCCTCTGCCCCAGCAGGGGTCTGTCCAGCCTGATTCTCTAGGGAAGTTCCCAGTCTGAACGTCCTCGGGCCTCCCACATGCCCCCCTGAAGCCCAGGCAGTGGGGGAGACCAAGAGAAGATGCCAGGAGGACCCAGTGCCTCCAGCTGCAGAGGCTGTGTGCTCAGGCCCCTGGAGACCAAGGCCTGGCAACCAAGGGCAAGGGAGGTCCGCTGGTTGCCAAGGGCAAGGGGTGGCTCCATCTCTTGTGACCCAAAGCCTGTCCCTCTGCAGCTGTGGGTGCCAGCCACCAGGCTCCACAAGGAGCCCGCAGCGGCTGGGTAGGCCTCAGGCCAGTGCCTCCTCTCACTCTGCTCCTTATGGGCCAAATAGACAGGTACCGCCATAGGGGGAGCTGGATGTGGGGTGGAGGGCGGATGTGGAAGACCCCAGAGGGGTGCCCCACCTGTTCGCTGGACCTATGTGACTCTCCTCCCGCCAGGCTTCCTTCCTGGAGGTCGCCAAGGTCTCCTGCAGGAGCATAGTGACACACGAGGGAAAGGCCCCCAAGCTTGGGCCAGCCACATCGGCTGCTGGGAGCCTCCACAGGCAGGGACCTGGGAGCCCCCGAGGCTGTCCTTGCTCCACAGCTTGCCGTCGGTGGTGGCCACTACCCAGCCCCTGCACGTCCTGGCCTTGGCGGTCACCCCTGGGCGCATCTAGCTTGCGGTAGGCAGAAGCGGAGGCCCAGCGCCGCAGCACCAGGGACCTGGGCGTCTGCTGCCACCGAGCGGCGGCCCGCGGGACTGCTGGGGAGCGGACCTGGCCCCGGCGCCGCAACCCTGCTTGCTCCTCGAGTGGGAAAGCGAGAGCTTCAGTCGTGGAGGGCGCGGAGGGGAGGCTCGGCGCCCAAGCAGTTCGTGGAGCCCCCGCGAGGATATCCAGGGAGAAAAACTACGGCAGGGCCACATCCCGCCCTTCGGTGTAGCGGGCGGCCGGGGCACTCGCCCACGCCCAAGGCTGGGGCGCCTTTCGGGGCGGCTCCGGCTGGGGGGCCTCCGGCTGGGGGGGGGGGCTCCGGCTCGGGGGGCGGC